AAAAAGGAGACCGGATGGATTTCGGACGCACCGCTCGCGCCGCGTCCCCGCGCGGCGACAAACGAGGAACGGCGTGGTGCGGCGGGGCGGGGCGGGGCCAAGAAGGACCTGAGCTGTGCTGCGGGGCGCGGGCTGGGTGGGGCGCGGGGGCCGCGGGGCCGCGCTCTGGCCAAGCCCCCCGCCCTGCCCGGTCGACAGGCCCCCGGCCCCAGCCCCGCAAGGGAAGGGACCAGGCAGCCATGAGCCAGCCCTGTGAGCTCCGCGCGCGGCCCGGCGGCCCCGCGTCGCACCACCACTCAAGCCCTGCTCCGCCCCGCCCCGCGCCGCCTGCTGCCTCCCGCCCGCCTCGCCTGATCAATATTTCGGAGTGCCTGCTGCTTTATCCGAGTATTCATTATCTTGCGTTCGCTTTCACGTTCACATGGCGGAGCAGGAGGAGGGTGGCGTCATCGCTCATCGCTCCGTGCCGAGCCGCACCGCGCCGCGGGGCCGGGCGGGGCCGGGCGGGGCCGGGCGGGACCGGGACGCCCCCACGTAACCACCCCTCCGTGGGCGGGGCGCGAGGCGGCAGGGCAGGCGCCGGTCTGCCGGTCTTATTGTGCCACCGTTGTTTAGCGGGCAGCAGGAGGACGCCACTACTGGATGGATCGGCCGGGTGGGGCGCCCGGAGTGGTAGGCAACCGGAGCGCGTCGGTGTACGCGTGCGGCCGACCCTGGCCGATCAGGGCGCCCCACCCCGCCTCGCCCCGCCGCGCCCCAGTGACCCATCTCGGCATGCAATAACACTTACGCCCTCCCCCACTGCAGGGGATCGCACAGCAGCATACCCCCCATGCCCGCTAACGAGGTCCCTCTCATTATGTGCACTTTGTCGTGGCCGGTGGCACGACTAGTCCGCGGCTGATCCGCGGTTGGTCCGCTTCCGCCCCGCGTATACCGGCCATAGAGATGGAGGGCTGGCACGCGCATCAGACTGGGATGATCTCCCGGGTTACGCTGCGCGCCCCGGTTTTGATCTCTGCCGGGCGAGCGGGCGGCGCCGCGGCGGCTGTCGGGAGGTTTCGGGCGGCTTGTCCCCACGCGATCACGTGACGCGAGGGGGAGGGGGGCTGCCACCCACGCCCACACCCCGTGCCCCCCGCCCCCGCCTCGCCTGGACTGACATGGCAGCTCCCCGGGGCGGCGCGAGGACACGGCAGCAGAGGGGTGAGGAGGATCTCTCAGTGGTTCCAACGACCGCGCTTGGCGTGGGAGGAGGAGGTGATAGCCGCCACAGCGCACCTGCTGGAAGGGATGAGGCGGACGGAGAACCAATGTCTCATCGCCAGGGGGCGCTTATGACGAGCGAGGGGGCGAGGACTACGGCGCCAGCGGCGGGGGCGGGGGCCCGGCAGGTGCCCACAGAACGCTCTCCCCAGGACGGCAAAAGCAATAAGCAATCCGGAGAGATTCGACCAGGCCGTGTCGTTTCCCCATGAAGTGGGGAGGGGGGGGCAATTCCATTCCATAGCGGCGTGTTGTCGCGCTGCTGGCGCTCTGGCTCTGGCTGTGCGGCGCTGGTGGCTGCTGCTGTCACAAACCCCCCCGCGGGTCGGGCCGCTGGATGGGATGAAGAGAGGGCGCGCAGGGCGGGGCGGGGCGGGGCGGGCAGGGAAGGGAGAGAGGAGAAAAAGACGGGAAAAAAAATAGAAAATAAAAATAATAAAAAACGAAGCTGTGCGATCTGCGGCGACCAGTGGGCCGGGCCGAGCCCAGGCGGGACGGGGTGGGTTGAGCGGAGCGGGGAGGGAGGGTGGCAAGGGGACGCAGGGGTGAAGCGAGGGTGAGGGTGAAGTGAGGTACGGCGGGCGGGCTGCCCTTTCGACTGGCGTGGCGGGGCGTGGCGGGGCGAGGCGTGGACGACGCTCTGATCAATATCCACCAACGTGCGTTTTCATCGTGTGCCATTGCCACCAGCTCCCCGCCTCGCCCATCCCTCTCTGCGACGCCCTCGACTTTGCCTGACGCGGCGTGGCGTGCACTGGCCAGAGGCTACCGTGGCCATCGAACCGAGACGCGGAGCCCAGCACAAGAGGACATGCAGAACGGTCTGGGCGCGGGCCCAGGGCCCAGACCCAGCCACTGCAGGAGGCAGGACGCGACCCCAGGACGGACCAGGTCCTAAGCGGCGTTTGATGAATTATCCCCTCTGCCGGCCCCCGGGGGGCTCCCTGGGGCCCCCGCCCTGCGCCGCCCCCTGTGCCCCTGCCGCTGGCCTGACCAGCGCTCGCTCATGTCAATGTACGGCATCTGGAGAGGCCCCGGACAGGGGTCCAGGCCAGGCCCGCCCGGAGCCCCCGGGCCCCGGAGCCGGGGGGGACCACTGGAGCTCGACACACGGACCCAACTCGGCCCACACGTCAGGGGAGCAAAACGAGCACGACGATAAAAAAGGTGACCCGGGCGCAGCAGTGGCGGCGTGGCCGGTACTCGTTCCTCCAGAGGCTCCCTCTCCCTCTCCAGGACCTCTGCTGCCTGCATGGCAACAGCATCAGTGCTGCCCATCCAACTATCCATCTGTCGCGCCCGCCCGCTCGCTCGGGGCGTCTTGCTGCGGCCGGGCTCGTAATGACAGGGCTTTATTCGACATTATTCGATACGCGCCTGGGCCGTAATCGCATGCGTGTGGAACTGTGGCGGGGCGTTGCGGCGGGAGGACCGAAAGGGGACCTGCCGGGGACGGACCGACACCTGGCGGCACCTGGCGGCAGCTCAACGGCAGCGGAAGCTCCGAGCCGAGCTCTCCGACGCCGCAGTGGCGCCGCCACGCCCCGCCACGCCGCGCCTCGCCGCGGCCGCGGCGTGCCGTAGGCGCTGTAGGCGGGGAGGGGCTGTGAGTGCTTCGGGCGGTGCACCCCTCCCCTCCCTCCCCGCGGCGTGGCCCGAGCCGGCCCCGAGCCGGGCACCGACGGGCCGCGATGCTTTCTCCTCCCGTAAGTACAGATTATGGACATAAACGCACATCGAGTGCGGTGGGGCGCGGCGGGGCGCGGCGGGGCGCGGGGGACCGCGGTGGGGCGCAGCGGGGCCATCGCGACACCCGCAACACCACCACCCCGATTCATCATCTGCATACACGACGCGTCCCCACGACCTTTTCTGTCGAGGGCAATCGTCGCCACTGCGCCATTGATACAAATAAGTTGTGAGCATTTAAAGATCGAAGAACACATGCACAGGGCACACCACACATGGAACGACATGTGTGGGTTTGCTTACGCACTCCACCCGTGTGAGGCGCCATGACCCTTGAGATTTACAGATCCGTGAGACATTGTCACACAGTAGGAGTTCGGTATGTCCGGAAATGACCGGTACACGGAGAAAAGGCGTGATCCACCCCCCTCTCTCCACCCGACTCTTCTGCTAAGGCTGGAAAATATTCTCTTTGTCACTCAAAAGGCACATTTGGTGTGTTGGAACGAAACAAATGACTAATAGGATAAACCAGACCGCCCCCCACGCATGAAGTCCAGGATCCACGGGCTACTGAATGAATACTTTGCAGGGAGGAATAAGACACGGTGGTGCATGTCGGCGATGCGTCGCGAGCGGAGAGGGCAGTGACGCTCGCTGTTGCCGTGGAAGCGTCGAGTCGGGAGAGCTGGACGGGGAGGGTGCCGCGGGCGGGCGCGGCGCGGGGCGCGGGCGGGGACGCCTTGAAATGGAACGGAGTGGCAAGGCGGGCAGGCGAGGAAGGCCGGGCCGGGCCGGGCCGCCAACGGCGAGAGACCGAAAGGCGGCCATCGCGGCCCCACTGCTGCATGGCGGCTGTTCTGCCCCGCCCCGCCCGCTCCGCCCCGCGCCGGATGTGACGAGTCGTGTGCAGCGCCGACCTGCCACGCCAAGCGCCGAGACGAGTGCCAGAGTGAAGCACGGCCCGCCCCGCTACCCTTGCAGAAGCGGATTCTGAGCGGGCATAGCTGGGCGGCCGCGTCGGTCGCTGTCCGGGAGATGGCGGGCGCCGCGGCGCCATGCAAAGCGTACCTGTCCCGGCCCGCGGTGCCCGGCCAGTACGATGACGGTCATGACGATCATGAGCGATTGTGTCTCCTAAAACGCTTTGGCTCGGGGGTATCGGCCGCCGGTCAAGAGCGTGGGGTGGGAGGGAGGTCATGCTAGTGTGAGAGTGTGTGTGTGTTTGTGTGTGTTTGAGCCATGAGCGCTCCTGGCGGGGCAGACGAGCTGGCAGCAGCAGGCCTTCCCCCTGCTCCCCGCCCCTCGTCCCGAAGCTGGACTGACACGGCTCGGGCCGTGTTCGGGTCGGCGTCGGGTCGGCTCGGGCGCCTCTCGGGTCGGCCCGGCTCATTCGGCGGCGTTCGGTTCGGCTGTTCGCTCGGCCGCTCTCCGCACTCGGCTCGCTCGCCACGCCACTCACTCGCGGGACGAGCGGAGAGTGTGAGCGAGAGAGCGGGTGGTGGAGAGGGAGAAGAGAGACAGAGGGAGTGCGAGTGTGAGAGGAGGAACGCGGAGCCGAGCGTTGCGTCTTGCGTTGCGCCCTGCCCGTGAGTGACTCTGCTGCGCTTCGTCCCGCGGTGCTGCGGCGTTCGTTGGTGTCTCAAAGCGTTGACGCCGCGCCAGGTCCCAGTTCGCGTCGCGTGCGTGTGAGAGCGTGTTTGTGTGTGTGTGTGTCGCCCCAGGTGCCAAAAGGGCTGGACGTCAAAGCCAAAGCAGAGTCCCCGACGGTCCTTAGCGGAGCCGTGCCCGGCGTCTCTTGATTGGGGTCGGGACGCCGTCGCGTAGGGCCCCGCGAGGAGCAGGGACCCCCGCACGACCCGGTTGTCGCGACAGTGTGGATAACAACCCCCGCGGCCTCCTGGACGCCGTCGCCCTCCGCGCTCGGAGCGCGAGACCCAGCGGTCTGCAACAAAGGAGCCTCCCGCCCTAACCTCACTCCCGCCGCGGCGAGAGCGCGAGAGAACCCCGCGGCCCCCGCAGGCCAGGCGCAGGCGCTCGCCCCTCTGCAGGCTCAAGCGACGCGAGGCGGGGCCCCCCGAGGCGGGACGCCGATTCAGGTGAGTCATTATTGTGTTCGCGTCGTGTACGAGTTTCCTCCCGTCGCGGTGGCTGGAAGGTCGGCGATGAGCGCGCACGAAGACCTACCGAGACAAACACGGCCGGCGTGGTATTATTTGTTGTTTCCACAAATCCGCGCCGAGCATCGTCCGCCGTCACCCACCGCACGGAAATCCATTCATTTGCAGCATTCATTCCAAAGCGTTTTCAGGTGTCTCCTTTGGAGAGGGGGTGGGGACTTGGTGGGGGTGGCACTATCCCCACTATTATCTTCAATATTTGTCAAGGGCGGCTCGTGCATTAAGACCCCCAGTTGAATCACATTGACATCGAACGGTATACGTATATCGTTTGCTGCATCACTTTAAACGATCGCACGTCATTCATTCATGACTTGAGTTCAGGTGCACCACCTTTCACTCACCCGAGCTCCTGCCGCTGAAAAGAGGAGGGGGCATTTATGACAGTACTGAGGCACCGGCGCCACCACCCGCGTCCCCACGGACGGATGAATGCCGCCCGCCTCGTTTTCGCCTTTCGCGAAAAAATATAGCCGATAAGGAAGGCAGATGGATTGTCGGACCACTCCCGACCGTTTGCAGTGAGGAAGAAGAGATACTGTAGCGAGCCGTGAAGGGGGGAGGGGGGCGGTGTGGCCACTGAGCCACTTGTGGGCAGCTTGGCCCCGCTGTCGGCCGCCCGTTGGAGCGGGG